AAGCATGTTAAAAATAACCTGGAATTAAAAGTAATGCTGTTTTTCTTTATCCGTCATTAGGTAAGAATCCTCTATGCCTGTGGTTTCAGTGTTTTGTTGACGAGCTATACACACTCTGCTGTTGACAATATTCTTTTGAAGTTAGCTAAGTTTAAAATAGGATTTTTGCGTTTGGGTCAGACTCAAAAGGTTCATCCAGTTATCCAGAAATTTACAGAGGAGGAAATTTGCAGATCAAAGTCCATTAAATCCTTAGCTCTTCTAGAAGAACTCTATGATAGTCAAGTAAGTACAATTATTTTTTAATAATATTGACAGTAATTTCTGTAGCCAGAATGAGAGGAGAAACAATACTCCAGGAAATTTATTCATATTGACCATATCTGTATCTGCTTAATTTATATGTGCCACAGGACCAGTTTATTAATTTATAGTTTGCTATTTCCTTCTGAACTGAAATGAGGTTTTTTGTTTATTATTCAGGGCTCCTTTCTTCTAGGTTGAGATATCCTAGAAAACTACTAATAATCAGGATATTTTAGTGAATTTGAATCAGAGGCAACAGTACTTAACAATCTTATAATAAGTATTTCTAGGCTTTTATATAGAATCTAATTCTTATTTTATTTTTGTTTAATGTCTACTTTTACTGGAAGTCTTAAATGATTTTTTTTAAAGAGATGGAGTCTATGTTGCTCAGGCTGGCCTTGAACTCCGAGGCTCAAGTGATTCTCCTGCCTCAGCCTCCCACGTAGCTAGGACTGCTAGCGTGTGCCACAGTGCCTAGCTTAACTAATGCTTTTGTCTTTAAAAATTTACCTAAAATTTAAATTAGATTTAATAGGCTGTTCCTCCAAATCCTTTGTCTAATACTAATATGTTTTTGTTTAATATCTATACCAATTGTTGTTAAATTTTGAAGTGGCTAAGATGTATGTCTCTGTTTAAATTAAACTTTATTTTGAGATAATTGTAGATTCACATGCTGTCGTAAGAAACAATAGCCAGATCCTGTGTACCCTTATTCAGTGGTAACATCTTGTAAGTCTGTAGTACAAATGTCACAGCCAGGATATTATTGATACAATGTTCTATTACTGCAAGATCCTTCATGTTGCTCTTTTATATTTGTACCCACTTCTCTCTTGCCCTGCTCACTCCTTTATCCCTGGCAACCACTAATCTGTTCTCCATTTCTATAATT